TTGAACACCCCAAACAAAAGAAGTATCGGCGGAGTGAATAAATGAAGCAGGCAAAGACAGGAAGAGTGACAAGCAGAGAGACCAGCCTTCTTTCTAAGTGTACTCCAAGAGACAGGGATGACTTAACAATGAAGGAATCTGGGAGATTTAACAATGAAGAGACGGACAGAGGGTGGTACGGACAGAACCTGGTGACACCTTGCTACAGGTGAAAGCTTCTTTTTTGGGACTACATTACAACATGAGAAGGTATGTATAAGGGAGGGAGGGGAAGGATAGAGAGGAGGGACTGACAGGGGTCAAATCAAGGGCTAGCAATGAGGGGAAGATGACCTCTGTGATCTCAGAAAGAGAAAGATCACAAAGGGTAGGGAAAGAAGAGAGGCTTTACTTTGGAGGTGGGAGGCTGTTCCAGTGATGAATGCTCCAATGCGTGAAGAGAGATTGGGGACTTTACATTGGATGAGGCCTGAGGGATTTGGTTTGTGAAAAATCTTCTTGGAATCCCTGGGGGCAACTGGCACCTGGAGGAGTGGGGGAGCCTGGATACAGGGGGGAGATTTCTAGGCAAATACAGAAAAAAAAAGATCAATAAAAGAGGATATAGGTGATGGGTGGGCTGCATAGTCGGGGACATAGTGGGAAATGGCACAACACAAGGGGGAATCCATGGATCAAAAGCACACAGAAAGCACACAGAGGGGAGAGCCTAGAATGGATCCCTTGGAAGCTTTTATTGCACGAAGAATACAGAAAAAAGAGAGAAACCAGATAATTTTTGGAGTTATAAATGAGAGAATGAGGGTCTAGAGCAGAGGTTCCCAAACTTATTTGGCCTACTGCCCCCTTAAAAAAAAAGTTACTAAGCATTCCCCAACCTGGAGATCTACTTTCTTTAACCCTTTAATTAAAAAAAAAGTCATTTAAAAAATATATATTTTTGTTAAAAAAATGATGCATCTTAAATTTAATAATTTATTGTAAATTTGTGGGTTTTTTCCTGCACTGCAATTTTGATGATGCAATATTGTATCATGTAACCATACAGCATCATATTGTAAAGAAGTCATTACATGACATATTCCTGCCTGATACATGTTGTACTTCCTGATAATGTGCAACACACTTGCCTGCCAACACCTGCTTGTTAAGACCTGTTGGCGGACTTTACTACTGATGGCTTATAATTTGCATTTTGTGTGTGTATTTGGAAAATAATGTAATCACTATGATTTTAACTCTGTTACACAATAGATAAAACATGTACGAATGGTTTTTCAAAATTTTTTTTCTCTTCTCTTCTTCCCTTATGCTTCCCCGACTCCCCCCCCTCCAATCGCACCCAAGGCCACTACCCCGCCCCCCCCATCATTCCAGCACCCTATGGGGATGTTATTGCCCACTTTGGGAACCTATGAAAAAGAAAGAGACGATGAATGACGAAGAGAACAAGAGAAATCTTTTTTGGAAAATGGTGCAAAAAACTGAAATTTCAAAACCTAGGAATAGGACTAGCTGAAGGGGAGAAGAGGAAGAGGGATTTTATTTGATTAACTGAGAAGAAAAAAGAAGAAATATATAACCAGAAAAAAAGCAGGAGAGAAAAAGGAACTAATGAACAATACCCTAAAAAAGGAAAGGGGTATTACTTGAGAAGAGGGGATCAGGGGAGAGGGAGAAAGAGTCAGTGAGAACTGGGCCACCTCAAAAAGAGATGAAAGTCATAAACAAAGTGTTTACTGCAGAAGAGGGAACTTGAAACTGAAAAGCTTCAGCACAAACCACATTAATGTACCTAGGATGAGAAAGGAAATGGTCAAATGGGAAAAAAAATTCCTTGTAGCAAATTTCTCTGATAAGCGTTTGGTATCAAGATAACTCTGTGTGTGTGTGTGTGTGTGTGTGTGTGTGTGTGTAACAGCCATTACCCAATATATAAATGATCAAAGGATATGAATAAACAGTTCTCAAAAGAACTGCAAATAATTCACAACCACATGTAAAAATGCTCCAAATTACTAATAAAAAGAGAAATGCAAATCCATACAACTTTGAGGTTTCACTTCACACCTGGAAAATTGGCAAAACTGACAAAAAATGGCAATAGTAAATGTTGGAAGGGTTGTAGAAAGATAGGCACACTAATACATTGTTGGTGGAGCTATGAAATAGTACAACCATTATGGAAAGCAATTTGTAATTATGCAAATAAAGTCACTAGAACATCCATTTCCTTTGAACCAGTGACTCCATTACTGGGCTCATACTTCAAGGAAGCTATCAATAAGAAAAAAGTCCCCATATACTCCAAAATATTTATAGCAGCACTTTTGCCATACCTAAGAATCAGAAACAAAGTAGATATCTATCAATAGGGTAATGGCTAAACAAATTGTGGTATATGAATGTAACGGAATTGTGCTATAATAAATAACACATTTGATGAATACAGAAATGAATGGAAAGATTTACATGAACTGATGCAGAGTGATAAGCAGAGCCAAGAAAACAATATCCACAGAAAGTACAATAATGTAAATGGAAAGAATGACACACCAAAAAATCAAAAGTAAATGTAATAAAATTTAAAAAATCAAGCCAGACTCAAATGAAAAAGAATGAGAAGACCCTCCCAACATACCCCTTCATGAAGGTGGGAGGTCTACTTTTTCAATGCATTGATCAGTTGTACTGACACTCCTCCCCCCTGAAAAAACAGTATTTGTTATATTGGATGGCTCTCTGGGAGGACAAGGGGAGGGATACATAGAATACCATGGTAATGCATGAAACAGGAAAAATCTGTAAAACTATATTAAAAAAAAAGAAACAAAGAAACGAAGTGCTGTCAGGACTGGGGATTTCTGTACACGTATAAGCCAAATGCTTCCTCTTCCAACAAAGCGCCCAAGTATACCCTGGAAACTTTTCACTTCCTTGGTACTTTGCTCCCACTTGAGCTCAATCTAGGATCTACAGTATCTGGAATTTTGCCAAGGATAAAAAAATACCAAGGGTAGTTAACCAGTTCTTATAAGCACACAAGATCACAAGGCTTCAACTTATACAATGGCATTATTTACATAAGAAAATACAGAGAAAGGATTCCCATTCCCTAGAGACCAGTATATTCTCTATGATTTACAGTACTGAACTGGATGGGGTCCCAACCGGAGGAAGAGGGGTAAGGCTACAGGTTACCTCTTTCACAATGGTACTCCTTTCTAATGTCCTTTGGTACCACATCGCTCTCCTCTAGTCTGAAAGCTCTTTACCTTCTCCCCAGCTCAGGTCTCTCCAGCAGATGGTGCTCATTATTTTATCTACAGAGGACCAGCTCTCAAATAGCACAGGGTTTAGCCCTTTCAAGCCCGCAGGCCACATTCCCTCCAGTCTTTTGAAACCTTCTGTGGTTTGTGCCATATACATGTATGTGTATGTACACAAACACACTCTGGAGCTCCACATAAAGGGTCTATTTGTATGGCTTTAGGAACAAATCTTTAGACAAATGAAAAGAATGTTTTCCATTTCTGGGTAGGCTCTTGATAACTGTCTCAGTTGTCTCCTTCTACCCAGTACCAACCCCAGCCCCAACCCTGGCACTTCCCTTTGAATCTTGGGGTTAAGGGGATTGGTTTGCTTTCTTAATTCCTTTCCATCTCCCATCTTTAGACCAACTGGGCTAGATTATGCAAATTATCCTTGTCTAATTCTCCAATGCCCTCTAAAAAAAAAAGAAAAAAGAAAAAGGATTGGCCAAGCTGCTCTTACTGTTTAGATTTAGATCCTTAATACCGATAGACCCGAGCTCCACCGGAACGATTTCAAAGGTGAACTGAGATACTCCCAGTTTTGTCAAACTGAATCCATTAGCTAGAAACGGAGGTGGGTGGTGGGTGGGTGGTGATTTATGACTCAGGATAGACTATATAAACTTTATGGTCCCTTCCAACTCTGAAATACTATTGTTTTAGGATTCAAATATTTTTTAAAAGAATAAACTTAAACCAAGTGCTACCATTCAGGATCTTCCTATTTTAAATAATTGTTTTAAATCAAAGACTGTGATATGCTAGCTAGGAATACATCAGGCACAAGTCCCAGGCAAATCTGTGAATAGTCAAAGTTCATCTTTGCAATTGCAAAGGTATTTCTTCTGCCTCTTTTCCTTTTGTTTCTACTTTGAGGCACCCTCCCATCAAAACCTGTTCTTTGGGACTGATCTGGTGACCAAGGTATTTCATTCAGCCCGAATAACTTCTCCTAGGGGCATGTGTATGTTAAGCCTTTTCTCTAATTTTGGAACTAGATTTTGTCCCGAGTTAAAAGAAAGTCAGGCGTCAGGAAGCAGGTAGTGGAGGCATTTTTATTTTCTTCAACAGGGGTTTTTGAAACACCAACTAAATAGGCACAGACCAGGCCTTAAAAGAGCAGGTCAAGTTTATGGAGCCTATGGGCACCTCTTTAATTTGAAAGGACCATGTAATGCAAAGGCTGTTTGCATGGCAGTGTGCCATTTCCAGAAAATACAGCTTAGCCTAACAGCTTGAGAGAAAACAACAGTGCAAAATTAACACCAACTGGAAACGCCTTGGGGAAAAAATCTAGATAAATGTAAGAATGCTCCAATCTGCAACACCCCTCCCCCCTTCTCTCAGGACTTTTTTTTCCTTCCTAAAGCGACTTGAGGGTAGAATAAGGCTGCTAAGGAGGAAATGGAATAGAAAGGAGGGTTTGCGGATAGTCTATAATTTAGGGGCCCCTTCCTCAGGGTCAAGGTCATTCTGACCACAGCTCTACTCTTCCCCTCTCTTTTCCTCCCTCTTTAACCCGAATTTTGCTGCCCTAGTGGTGATGCAATCAAATTCCTAAGGACTAGGTGCAATCAGATTCCTCCGGATCAAAAGGTGGAGGTGGGGCGGCGGGGGCCAGGGGGAGGAAGGAAGGGGCTCAGCTTGGCAGGGTGAGAAACTTGTTTTTCCGGAAAAGGGGCTCCTCTCTAGCTGGGCAGCAGAGGGGCGACCGACCAAGCGGAAGGGAGAAAGGGGGCCACACCAGCAGCTGAGCACGCACTGGCTGCTGGCTGCCGCCTCCCGCTGCGCTGCAGCGTGTCCCGTCTTCCCCGCCCCCCCACCTCCAGGCCCCCTCAGCCACAGTTTCCCCCCTACTCCCCATTTCCCGCCCCTTCCCACTCCGCATTGCCCAGCCTAGCTAGCAGAGCAGCGCTTGCAGTTGCGGCTTGGGCGCAAAGCTTTGCAGCCCCTTTCTCCACGCTCCACCTTTCCCTCTCCCGGCTGCAGACGCGTCCCGCCAGCTGCGCGGTTCAGCCCCGGAGGGCGGGGATTTTGCTTCAGGCGGCAGCGACTGGGCTGGGGTTGTGGAGTCAAAGGGCGCAGGCTCCCTCCCGGGTGGACAGACGGACGGAGGAGGGGGTGGCCACTCAGCCCTAGGGACTACGCGAGGGCGTGGAGGAGGAGAAGGAGAAGGGCTGCTAGGAGAACAGAGCGGTCGCGAAGCCGGGGGCGGGGAAGGTACAACTGCGGAGGCCCGCAGAGCTCTAGCTCTGGAGTGAGAGGGCCCGGGGAGCCACGAGCCGCCCGATCCAGGAGGGAAGAAGGTGAGTCTGAGGAGTTGTACCAGCCAGTTTCCCGGGCGCCCTCTGTCCTTCCCTCCTGTCCTTTGCTCATCTCCACCACCCTCCCCCTTCCTTCCCCTTCCTTCCCCATCTTTCCTTCTCTTCCTTTCTCTTTCCTCTGCTGGAGTAACTTAGACCTTACAGAGAGCTCCACGCTCCTTTGGGGACCTCCCCTTCTAACTCCCCCTCCCCCTGCATTTCTGTCCTTTACAGGCGTTTTGTTGGTTTTCTGCTTTGTTTTATTTTCCGTTGAGTTACGGGATCCGTTCCTGGGTTTTGTGGGTGGGGGTAGCCTTTACTTCTACGTTAGAGAGGGCATCACTTTCATATCGCTGGAGAGAGGGTTGCTTGCTGTCCTGGTGCCCCCTCCTCCCCTGCCAGTCCTGTATCTCGCTTCCATTCTTCCCCCCGGGAGGGGTCTGACATTCTTTCCAAAGATTCGCTGCTCCAGTGGAGGTGGTTTCCCCCCGTCCATGTTCCTCATTAGCATTCCCGCGGTTTACAGATTCTTTTTTGTTCTTGGGTTCTGTCGTGAATGTTAATGTCAAAAAATAAAATACATCCCCATCCGGAAAATGAAGTTGTTCCTGCTCTAATGTGAACGTGTCTTTTGCCCAGCTGATATAGGAGCGTGGGAGGAGAATGAGTTCCTTACCTCTTCCTGTATCCCTTAGGTTTGCTCTCTTCGGTTTGTTTTCCTGTTTTATCACGGGGTAGGGGTTGATTTGGGGCAGGTGCAGTTGGGGGAGGGGGTGTCTGGTGGTGGTGGAGGGGAGATGCCTAGCATCTTGCTAGGTGCTGGTCCGCATCGGGGTCCAGTCTGCGTCCTAGGTCTCACTTAAACTAATTTCGTGAGACATGGAGTGTTTCTGAAAAGAGAGAGGAGACAGGATGCATTACGCTATCTGTAGGGCACCGTTGATGGTGTTGGGGTGAGGCAAAACTTTAGCGCTGCTGAAGTGGAAACCTTCCTTCTAATAGCACTTTTTTTTTCCAGGAATGCGTCTTAAAAGTACCAGTGTTATAACTGACTTAATAGCTAACTTTTGATAGAACCAAGGTTTTAAAAATCATTGTTTTTCATTACTTTTTTTTTAAACATTACTGATGGAATTGTCTCTGTGATATTGGGAAGCTGAAAACCCTTTTTCACAAGACTTTATACCTTTTTAAATTTGGGAACACAGAACTTTTTGTGGCTTTACTCTTGGAAAATTCCTCAGTTGTATGGGGGGGTCTTCCAGCTCTAAGTTAAAGTAAAAACCCAAGGAAAATTGAATATTCAGCAGCTTGTCATTTGAAGTTGTATTACTTAATTTAAGGATATTAGGTGGGTACAAATTTAGGCCTTTTTGGTGTGTGGTGCCTAGTGCTGGGCCTAGAGTGAGGAAGACTCATCTTTCTAGATTCAGATCTGGCCTCTGACACCACTAGCTGTGTGACCCTGGGTAAGTCACTTAACCTTGTTTGCCTCAGTTTCCATATCTGTAAAATGAGCTGGAGAAGAAAATGGCAAACTGCTCTAGTGTCTTTGCCAAGAAAACCCTAAATGGGGTCATGAAGAGCCAGACATGATTGAATAACAAGAAGTTTCTGAATTTTTTCAGAACGGCTGTCACTGTTGATGTACCCTTGTTATGACTGTCCTTTTAATTCCTTCACAGAATCCCTCTTGATGCTCCTCTCCCTGGTCTTAGAGTGACTTTTATATAAGGAAATTCCTTATGAGAGGAGAACAGTTTATTTCTAGACCATAACTCTTAATTTGTTAAAGGGACAAATTGAATGATGGGGTATCGTGGTTAAGAAGTAGAAAATGGAGTTTTAAAACAATTTTGAATTTCTGCCAACAGTATCAGGTCCTTATTAGGCTGACTACATGTTACTGAATCAAAGAGATTGTTTAGAGGCCAAAAAAAAAGTAGTGGGGGAGGATTGCCACTCTAATATTTTAAAGGACGCAGAGGTTTAAGTTTTGTAAAGCAAATGCTTTATTTACATTCTCATTTGATTCCTTGGTTTCCTTATCTGTAAGATTGGGATAAAAATAGCAGTACCCCCTTGAGCCTTAATGGAGGATAAAATGAGATGTGCTTTGAAAAAGCCTTAAAGCATGATATAAGTGTTAAATGCTATAATTTTTATTATTTGTTTCATTCTCATCTTATTTGCAATATGGAATTCAGATAGAAGTGATCCTAGAACAGGTTACTGTTCTACAGGCTCCTTTTTGTTTGTTTAACATTTGTGTGATTTCAGAGGTGTGGATATAATGATTGCTTTTGTAACTGAATAAAACTGTTGGCATATAAGTTCATCTTTGTAGGTTTACTGAAAGTAACGTTTCGGCAACGGTAGTAGCAGACAGGATGATAGGGATGAAATATGCTTCATCTTGTACACATATGGTTTTGACTTTTTTCCATTGAGCCTCTATAATTTGGGATCTTTTCATTCCACATAATTTTTTAAATTGTATTTTAAAAATTCCAAATTTAAACTCCAAATAAAGTGGGCATTTCTACATACATAGTATAACAGAAGAAAAGGAATATCTATATATGAAACTATATCTCTTCTTTTCTTCAAAAACACAATAAGTTCAATATATGACTTTCAGAGCTATCTTATGTGTCTGATTCTTCCTGGTCTTCTGTTCTGTGCATTCAAAAGTGGATGTTTCAATCCCCTCCCCTTCCTTCTCTCCCCCCTCCCTTCTTCCTTTCCCTACTGTTCCTTCCACTCTCTGGAACAGAAAAAAGAAAAAGAAAAAGCCCTTGTAGAAAATATGACTAGTAAATAGTGTCCCTGTATGTTGGCCCTGTCTGAAAATGTATGTCCCTGCATCTTGGGTCCATCATGTTTCAGTTAGATGGTGTGTAGCATGCTTCATCATCAGTCTTTCCTTCTAATAATCTGGAGGTAATGAATATTCGTTATGGTAATATCTATTAAAAATGTTTTTAGATTTTTTTGTAGTTAACTGTTATGCTCGGTTGATTGTGGACATTTCTGTGATGACGCTCTGGTTCTTATACAGTTTATTTGTTGAGTTCTCAAGGATCTTTTGAGGTTTATCTTTACAGCATGGGGTTTTATCATTTGTCGGTTTGTAAAGGAGTGTATGTTATTTTTATTTGTCTCATTCTTTGACAGAGTTCAGATAAAAATGGTTCTGGGACAGGTTGTTATCCTGCCAATATTCTTTTGTAGTTAGTGGTCTGCAGACTATTGCACAGATAGATAAAATAATGGCTTATTATAATTGAATGGAATTATTGGGACATTAGCTCACCTTCTGAAAGCTCATTGAAAGCATCTTGGGGACAAATCTGGGAGTAGACAATATGACAAGAATGATACATACCTCTAAGATGCTATTTTTATGAAATTTTGATTTCTTCTGCCAAGTCTCTATGTTTTGAAAAGTTTTTGTTCTATATAGCTTGGAGATTGTAATGGTTATTTATTTATTTATTATTTTGTTTTGTTTCTTTGGCTAGGCAATGGATTAAATGACTTGCCCAGGGACACACAGCTAGTAAGTGTCAAGTGTCTGAGGCCACATTTGAACTCAGGTCCTCCTGACTCCAGGACCAGTGTTCTATCCACATGATGTTTATTTATTAATTATTGCTATCTATTAATATTCTTGAATGTTTATAGTTGCGCATTATGCCTAGATGACTGCTGGCAACAGTTCTGTTTATAACAGTGGTCTGGTTCCAATACAGGTTATTTGTTGAATTTTCAGGGTTATTTTTTTTAATTTTAATTTTTTTAATTTTTAGGCATTTGGGGTTAAGTGACTTGCCCAGGGTCACACAGCTAGTAAGTATCAAGTGTTTGGTCTGAGGTTGGATTTGAATTCAGGTCCTCCTGACTTCAGGGCTGGTGCTCTATCCACTGCGCCACCTAGCTGCCCCTCAAGGTTATTTTTGAGGTCTGTATTTGTAATATGCGGTGTTGCGGTGGATAGAGCCCTGGACCTAGAGTGAGGAGGACTCATCTTCCTAAGTTCAAATCTGGCTTCAGACACTTACTAGCTGTGTAACCCTGGGCAAGTCACTTAACCTTGTTTGCCTCAGTTTCCTCATCTGTAAAATGAGCTGGAGAAGGAAATGGCAGATCTTCCAGTATCTTTGCCAAGAAAACTCCCAATAGGGTCACAAAGAGTCAGATGCTACTGAAAAGGACTCAACAGCAAAGTTTATGAAAAGAAAGCCAGCTCCCGATGCAGGGTGGTAGCCACCAAGTCACATGTTGCTAGGTGTGGGTAGTGGCTATGGAGTGCTGCTGTGGCGGTGACAGGGTTGGCAGTCACTCTTGCTCATCCTAACTGACTTTGGTTGGGCCAGGGTACTCCTTACTCTTGACTTCCTTAACCCAATTCCCTTCAGGAATAGCTTTCCCCTCAAACCAACTCCAAGAAGATGTCTTTGGTCCAGGCTCGGTGCCAGTCTAGCCTATCTGAGGGACCCAGTTTAAATATTCTTTCTGCCTTAGGAAGTTGTAAAAAATGAATCACAACTCTACAATTCTGAGTCCCTAGCCAGAAATAGTTCTCTAGCAAAAGAGGGCAGTTTTAATGCACTCCTTCCTCCCAGGAAGCTCTCTCCCAACTGTATATTTGAATGACTTACTTAGATTAGCAAAATGAGTGCAGTTATCCCTTCCACATTCCGGTCTGCATAAGAAATTAATTGGGAATTTTTTCGGAGTTTTCTGGGAACCGCAGATGACACATGAAGGCTAGCAGACTACAGAAAAAGTTTAGAAACTCAGAAATGCGTAAAATATATGTATAGTATTAATATCAATATTTTATCTTTTAATACCATAAATATACACAATTTCTTCTTCTCTGACATGAAGGGAGGACCAAAAAATTTTATGAGGATTTTCTAGGTCACAGTAAAATCCCCTCCCCTCACGATTTGGAAGTGATAACGGCAATTTACAGGACTTGTTACAGTTTCGGA